GTGTTCCTCTTGCAACTTGGTGATGCTGGAAGTCTTCATCGCTTGTCAAGCAGATGAAGTTAGCAGCTGAGCTTCACCAAAACCACAGTTGTTTGTACACTGAAAACCTATTTCAAGCATTTGTTTCCACGTGGTTTGTGGGAAATTGATGTTGGAGCTCACACTGGCTGCAGCTCTTCAGCCAGTGTATGTGATGAGGGTGTCTTGAGAAGGAACCAAGCCTCTCCTCCAGGTGGAGAGGAGAAAACCACTTACCCTGGGGTCCAGTGGTCTGGATGCCCTTGCAGACAAAATGATTTGGCAGCTGATAATGCTTCTGTGGCTTTTTATCTTTCTCTTGCACAGACCTTATTGGTGTCTTAGAACCCGACCATACCAGGTTAGGGTTGATGCATCTATTTCAAGCTTCAGCTTCTCTTTGAGGAAGTAAAGATACTTCTTATTACAGTGGCTGTTAAGAGGCATGAGAGGTGTTTGTCTGGACCTGGCAGCTTTGGGGAGGGTTGGGGAAGATCTGGGTGGCTTAGAGCTGGACCCTTCCCGAGCCTGCTCGGCAGGTAAAAAAGGAGGGGAGCAGGAAGCAAGCAAGATCTCATGAGGTACTTAATTGTCCATGCTAATCCTGGGGGTTTGGGGTTTCTTGCTTTGCTACTTTCTCCTAACAGACTTCACTCCCTTCTCTGCTGAGCATTGCTTTGAAGAGGCCTGTAACTGTCTCGGGAACCTGTGCAGGCACTGCCTTGGCCTCTGAGGGGGAGCTAGGGGATGGGTATTTGAGCTGAAACATTGCCCTGGGACAGAGAAGAGATCCACGCAGCACTGGTATCTTTACAGCAGACGCTGGACTCTGTAATTTGGACCTTTTCCCCGCCTGTGCTGTTTACACCGGGAGGGTTGCCATCGTAGCCAGAGGAGCAGAACTGAATCGTCCCTGCTGGGCAGCAGGTCAGGTTAGGAGGAGAGATCCCCATTGATCCTGCATCCACCGCGTTTCCCTTCCCTGTCCCTCTCCCGGGCAGCCAGCGCAGCCACTGCGACCGAGCCCTGGTCACGTCTCTGCCGCCGAGTCCCCGCGTGACCTTGGAGAGGTCGTTTTTGTGCTGACGTCCGAGTCTTTTGTCTGCAGAACGTGGAGGATGATTCAGTTACAACTTCAACCAGAACAAATCAGCTGGTGTCCTCCCCTAGCAGCAAAGAGCCCCGTGGCCGGGAGCCTGCTGTCGCGTATACCTGTGCGTGCAGAGGGGCAGCCCTCGCGCAGCACGCCGGTGCCGTGGTACCAGTCGGTGTGCTTTGGTGACTGGCAGTGCCATAAAGCACACTAAGGTTGTTTCCCCCCCACTTTGGAGAGCACAAGGGTAATTGCAGGTAGAGGGGAGCAGTGGGGCGCAGGGAGCTGGTTCCTCTGGCCTGGCCGTGCTCCCCTCTTGGCAATTACGCCTGTGGGTTGCTGTAATAACGAGTCAGCACTTCTCTTGCGTCAGGGCTCATGAGCTGCTCTTCAGCCGCGGCCTCGCAGGCCCAGCAAGGAAGAAGCAGTGTCTGTGGTGGAAAAGGGGGTGCTGGTGGTGGTGGAGGTCCCTTCTCGGCACGGAGAAGGCAGGTTTCCTGTGAGGGTGTTGGGACACAGAACTGAAGGACGGCTGGTGGAGGAGCTGGGTTGGCAATGTGCTTCTGCAGTGGAGGGGGGGGTGGGCTCATAAATGGGGTGGCCTTTCTGGACCTGTCCCAGATACCTGAATAGCAGCAGTGGCCAGATAGCCCCTGGGAAAGGGGGTATGTGTGTGGATGCATCAGCTTTTCTCTTTAAATGCCCCATTTTAGCATACGGCTCCTGCTGCGTATAAAAATACCATCAGGCAAAAAAATTGGGATTCTGTATCCACCACCTACAGTAAGGATGAGTGCCCTCGATTTAGTTATGTCTCCTGGGCTTTTTGTGCAGCAACTCTGGGTATTGCTGTGCCACGTCTGCACCCTCATGTGAGTGTCCTGAAGGGGATGCTCCGCGCCCATCCCGACATCCTGCCGGGTGCAGTACACAGCCTTGACCTCCTCCTGCTCATTCCTTCCTCCACCCCCATTTGCTGATAACGAGGAGATTTGTGAAACATGTTTTCCGCTGGGATTTTGTGGGCTGTATGGGTAATGTACAGAGCTGAGGAGGATGGTAAAGGGCTTGGGAAGTACCTGGCTTGGCAGAGACTGGTGTTAAAATGAAGAGCTGTTTCCTCTGGTGGTTATAATCCCTCTGTTCAGACACCATCTCTCTGGTTTGGAGCCTATACTGAGAAGCAAAGTGCCTGCATGCAAGAAGGGAAAGGAAATGTAAGACCACAGGGCCCAAATTTTGAGAGTCTTCCTTGCCTGCGTCGCCATATTAGTACTCACTCCCCTTATTGTTCCTCCCTCTTCCCCATTTGGCTGCCTGGGGCTATCTTGTATTGGCCCACTGGGGCAGCCTGGATTCGGCTGCAGCATCCTCCTCCTCCACAGCATCTGGCCTGCGTCGGGATACCAGGCATCGGGGTGCCTTGGGGTGGAAAAGCAGCGTGTGTGGTGGGAGGAATCAGTGGAGCTGGTTTGCTGGCTTCAGCTTCCCATGTTGAGACTTTGCTTGAGCAAAACCCCAGCTTGGTCTCTGTGGCTGGGTCCTTCATGTTTGATTTTTAACCTTGTGAGCTGACCTGGATGGCAGCCTCAGGCCTTGGAGAGCAGCCCTTTGCCCTGTGGGCCACACGTGTTTCTGCCTCCTTCCCTAGCATGGTTTCCTTGGGAAAGGAAAGCACTGCCTCATTTAGACTCCTCTTGGGCACCGCAGGTGCTGCTCTCAATTGGCAGGCTAATTTCTAATCTAGTCTCTTGTGCTTGCACGGGAAGAAGGTGTCCCAAAGGGTCGTTGTGCCTGGCAGTCCGTGACCAGCCCTGCCTCATCTGTGTCCTCTCAGCATCCCTGTTTGTCAGAAGAGTAAGTCCTGCAAACAGATTGCTTGTTCTCAGCAGTGGGGAAAGCTGCCTGCAAGCCCAGCACTCTGGGTCTCTGCTCTGGAGAGCTTGGGATCAAATCCTTACTCATTATAGGTGTGATGAGTTGGACAAGCTCAGTATCTCCAAGACAAGAGGGCTGAGAACTGGAGGCAGATGTCCTTCCTTGACAAGAGCTGCGCTGGCAAACCCTGGAGGTGAATGTGAGCAATATTTGCCCGTGGCCATCATGCATGGTCCTTGCTTTGTACTGACCTAAGCCCCTGAGGAGTTTCCACTATTTTCTAGGGAATATGGTGGCAAATGTGCTATCATTTTGTTGTGGCTGAGCTGGAGAGAAGCCAGGTGATCCTTGCTGTGTATTTGAAGAGCTGGTTGGGCAGCTAGCAGGAGTGTAAACTTGAGAATCTGGGGGGTATAACAAGGGAATGGTTGCCAAGACCTATAGTTCTTGGCGGGCACAAAGGAATTCCTGTTGTCAGTCACTGTATTATTATGACTTGATTTTGGGGGTTTTGTGCAGGAGTTGCCCAAGTAGGGAAATGCAGAAATTGCCTCTTGTTTAGGACCTGTTAGATCGAATACAGGGTGTTTGTACTCACTGTTGTAGGAGCTTGACCTCTTCAGCATCCATCACAGAAATACAACGTGTTTAGCTGTGCTTGGGTGGGGGATTGCAGTAGAACATGCAGTCTGCAAAGGATCCAGACTGGTGCTTGGGTGTTTTTCTGGATGTGTTGGATTTTCCCTGCGATTGCACCTTCAGCATGGCCACAGACCATAACCTTGTATAATGGCAGAGGGAGTCTTGATTACTTTTTTGTGTGTCCATTTGCTTTTGCTGCTCATAGGTGGGATGAAAGCATCCCCACCTGAGGATGCCCTGAACACAGTGCACTGTCAAAGGTGGAGAAATAAGAGTTGTTTTGGTAGAGGCGTGTTTTTGCTGTTCCTGTATTGGCTGAGCCCAGGCCAGAGAGCACTGCCCTGTCCAAGGGGTAGGCCTTGCTGCAACTCTTGTGACTTTCCAGATGAATGTGTGTTTTGGGCAGCTGATAAGCCTGAGCCAGGGGCCTGCCCCTGTCCTAGGAGGACCTTGCCTTGCTGGCAGCCTCCCTTCCCCTCCTCTTCCAAGTTTCTTGAAGAAAACATAGTGTATTGCTCTCTCAAAAGTGCTGTTTTCGTAGCTTCTGGGGGAGCCTTTCTCAACAGCATTTCTCCATGTATGATGTCCTGTGTGCTCCTCAAAAGGAAGAATCTTCCCAGCTATGTCGCAAGAATATTCCCAGCAATAAACAGGGTCCATCAGGAAAAGGACCCGCACTTCTAAATGGAAAGAACGTGGGGGAGTGGGAAGGTTGAGTAATCTGTTCAGGATCCCTTCTAGACTCCAGCAATGGGTTGTGCTTGCTGGTAGAGCCACCTGAGATAGGAAGGGCAAGGGGAAGGTGTTCCCTGGGCTGATGTGCTGAGGAGCAGGATGGGTTTGTGCTTCTATTCTCTGGTACAGGAGCTGTGCTGGAGCTGGGCACAGTTGTTGATGTCCCTTGTGGCTGCAAAAACCAAGAACCATCAGGAAAATGCTTGTTTTGCTTTTGCTTTAGCTGCCACCTCTGCTCCCTGGCTGGTCACCACGTTGGATACTCTCTGTGCAGCTTTCCATTTGATGATGCTGGCCAGGGGAGCATGGGGGTGCCACCAGGTAGCTCATTGTGTGGATATTTGGACATCTCAACGAGCTGTTTATTGCTCACTGCTGTCTGTTAGAAGCCAGCATAGAAAGTTATTTATAAGAGCAATACATCCAGGTAAACACAGCCTCCTTCAAAATCTGTCTCCCAACAAGTGGTTGAATTGAGATGGGTTCCAAGCTGGATTGTTGTTTAACTTAGGATACTAAGAAAATACTTCCTCTGTTTAGCTACAGCAAACAAATCAAGGAAGGAGGGACCTTTGAAATGGTTCACACTCCAGCTGCAACCAGGACTGATTTTTCTCTCTCTTTTTTTTACAGATATATTTCCAGCTGACGGCCAGTCTGGTATGTATTAATTGCACATGGAGCTCTTCAAACCTCCTTCTGCCCTCCACTTCTCTTCCTGCAGAGTCAGCGCTCTCCAGATTTAGAAGAGTGGTACAAGGATATGCAACAGGCAGTAATTTAAAAAAAACAAACCCAAAAAATCCAACCTTCCTCCTCAAAAAAAACCTCCTCCAAACCAAAAAAAAAGGTCCCTTTAATATTTGGCCATTCCTGTGTGGCAGTGACGTGGTTGATGCCTTCCTGTAGTGATTGACTATAACTGCTGAAGGTTACTGTCATCCCATGCTTTGTAGCGTGGCAAATTTGGGTGTCCAGGGTGAAAGAGCTTTGGAACTTGTCAGTCTTGATCATCACACATAACTGAGAACAGTGACATGTCAAGATGCAGATGGAACTCAGAATTGCTGCTGTTTGTATGTTTGTTATATACAGCTTGATGTGTCCATGAAGATGTGTATTTGAATTTGCAATCCTTTGAAAAGATGCAGACTTCCCCTTTGGCTTGTTCAGTCTGTGTGTTGCTGCTGAGCATCACTGTTAATGACAGCTGAGATACACACTGCATTGCCATCAGTGCAGGATGAAACCTTCCTGGGCCCAGTAGTGCATGCAGCCTGGCTAGGAGGGACCCTGCACAAATGGATTGAGGTTTTAGGTAGGGCAGGGAGGCCACTCTGGATGGAGGTCCCAAATTAGGGGATGTAGTTTTTAAAAGCAGGTAGAGGTGGTCTCGATTTCTTGCCTTTCCCAAACTGCTGTGAGCTCTTCATCCAAGTTGATGTTGTTAACATGCCAACGCTGAAGGAAGGGTTTATGTTTTACCCAGGGATCAGTCAGTAAGATCCTGTTGTAGTGTCTGGTGGGGATGTCCCAGAGCAAAGGCTCTGGGAGTGGAGGTCAGTGCTTGGCTTGGACATGTCAGTGTGTCCACCTCCTGCCTGCATCTTTGGCTTTGTATGGGATCACATTTCCCCAGCTCACGTGATAGTGCTGCTGATTGAGGCATCGCATGATCAGGATTTGGAGGTTTGGAAATTGGTTCTCATGTCTTAAAGCTGATTTCAGTAAAAATAATTCACTGGTTTTGAGCAGTCTGGTTAACACTATAGACAAGGTAATTTGGATCTATGAACTGAACAGAGGGCTCAAAGCTGTGTGTATTTATGTGTTTCCAGAGCTCTAGCCCGCTAACAAGGCCATGGTGTGTAACTGGGTGCACTGGAGTGTTACAGAAGATGCCTCTAAGTGTTAGAGGAGTAACCCCAGTAGTAACCCAACCCATTCATAAGTCATGATTTTCTTGCTCTCAGAGCATGTGTGAGAGTGAAATACTAACTGGTTTTAAGAAGCAAAGGTATATTCCCATGTGTCTAGTTCCTAAGAAGCTTTTCTCCACCCTGCTGAAGATCCGCCTTCGTTGGGTGTTGGGTTTTGTGCTGCACACTCCGAGGTGCCTTTTGGTTGGCACAACTCCTTCCTTTGCTCTCCAGCTGGTTGGGGACCTTCACTGCCTCCAGGGTGGGGCATGAGTGTGTGTTTGCAGCAGATAACAGCGTTTCAGTAAGTGCATGTTGCATGGCAGTAGTGTTGCAGAAAACATTACCTGTGGAGCCTGGGTTTGGGGTGGGTTTTTTTTGACAATTCTGTATTTTTAAGGAGATAAGTGAAAGCTTAAACAGGATTCCTTTTAATGGTTGCTTTGCGGGGCGCTGCACAGTCCTTTCTTATGCTTTCTCCATAAAAGCTGGTGCCATGCTTTTTCTTCCCATGCACTAAGCTTATCTGGAAGCCCTGATATCTCAAAACACAGCGAAGTGTGAAGGCAGCAGGGTTGCCTGGAGCATACCTGCTCCGAGCATCAGAGGAGTTGTGCGCTCCTGAGGCTGTTGGCTTTGACTCCCTTTCATTGCTGAGGTTGTTTAATGAATTAATTCGCTCAAGTCTGTTTCTGCAGATCACCAGGCCTTCATATCTATGTCTGTGCCTACTTCTTAAGGTTAATCTTGTATGGCCAGGTGGGTCTGTATGGCCGGTTTTGCCTCTTGGTGAGGAGTCCATTGTCCTTCCGCCCAAGTGTAGTGACTGAGGGTGCTGAGCTGTGGTAACAGAGTTGGGACTTGCATAGGTGGGGAGCCTGAGCCAAAACTCAGCCATTTTGTAGGCACAGTATCTGTAGCGTGCCCCAAAGCATGTTCCTGCTTGTTAGTGTATGGATGCTGGAGGCGTTCTGCCCTCAGCCTGGTGTCACGAGCCAGTGCTGTGGAGGTGGAAGGGCACCAGTGTTTGCATCCCAGTTACCTAACAGCACTTGGAAATAAAGCTGCTCTCAGAGAGGCGACTGACTTCCCTTCTGTCTAGCCTAGCAGTTCCTTGGTCCCCTCCTCTCCCACATCCAGCAGTGTGGTGGCAGAGCAGAGGGATGGACTCTCTTAGAGGAGGACTGTGAGGGCACGGCTCCGCCTGGACCTCTGCGCATGTGTTGGATGCAAATATTAAGCCCTGTGTGAGGCTGTTGATGCTCTCCCGGTGCTCTCTGCTTTCCAGGACTTGCTGCCACTTGGTGTGGTGAAGTTTGCTGCCTGCAATTTAAGGAAATACTTTGCTTGCTTTAAATGGGTCTCCTGCTAGCCTCAAGTACTGTTCCTGTGCCCTCCTAGTGTCCTGCGCTGCAGCCAGCCCTCCTCAGTGGCCTTTTTAGCCTCACCTCTTCAGGGGCTGCCTCTGGGCAGTTTAATTGCTTTTCTCTGTGCGTCTGTATCACTGCTGTGCCCTTGTTGAAATGCAGAGACCAGAGCTGACAGCAGGGTGCAGTTGTGGATGCACTGGTGTTCCACAGAGCAGCAAGTGATGCTTTCTCTTTGGAGAATTGTCAGCAGTGACCAAGGTCTTCCTTGAGTTAGAAATGCCACTTTGAATTGAATGCTGTGAAGTTTTCCATACAGAGATGTGGGTGATGCTGCCACTGCAAGGAAGTGGTTTTTAATCCAAAAATAGATCCTGAAATTAGGAGAGAAAGTTCTGTGTTGCACTCCTGTATCTGGGTACTCCTGATCCCTTTGGGAAGGCTCACTCTGATTAGGGTGTTTTTACTGTTTCATGCTGTGTATTGAGGCAGGGGAGGCAGCCACCTACAGCACAGGAATTAGCTGGGTTGGAGAGAGTGGTTTATGCAGCAGGATCCATGTGATTGTGCACCCAGGAAGGAAGTTGGCAGCATTTGTGGTATCCAAGTTGTTTAGAAAAATGTTGAATTTCGCTGTGTCTGCCTTAAGGTGGGCAGCATAAAGTGATGATGCTGTATCTTGTGCTCAGAGAACATGTCCTGAAATCAGCTCAGCTGAGGTACAGTGATGCTTAAGTAGCAGAAAAGGAGCCTTCCTGTCTGCTCTCAGGCTGTGAGGATGTTTGGCTGCTGTGCTGGTGTCACTGTTTTAGTGCTCTGGATTCACCTACGGGGGGAAGCCCCCGTACCTGTGCTTAGTTTAATCCAGGTGGTTATGGGACTGTAGGATTTCTTCAGCTCATATCTGGAGATGCCCTGCTTAGCGGGTGACCTTGGCCTGGCCTCCCTAAATTCCTGGGAATGTTTGCAACACCAAATCACTATTGCTTTCCCCTGTCCCAAGAGATGGGGCTGGATTTCTGCCTGCTGCTGCTCAGTTCTCTGCATTATGCACAGTCGTGGAGGCAGGTTTGCAGCTGACCTGGTGCAGGATTCAAGGGTGAGGTGTAGCTGTTGCTTTGTCGATGGCCACTGCATAGGGGACACCCTGGCCATGCAGAGATCCCTCTGCAGAAGGAACCCAAGTCAGGTACAGGAATCACATTGGGAAGAACTAGGAATGATGTTGTTTAAATTACATTACATTTCTAGAAGCCCAGGCTCTGTCTGCTTGGAGATGCCAGGTTTTCCAGAAGCACATTTGCACCTTTGCCTCATACGACCCCTCTCCCCTCCAGTGGCACAGGCAGCGGGAGCTTCGCAGACTTCTCCGTGCGAACGCTCAGCGGGAGAGACTCGTGGCAGGCGCTTGGCTCTCAATTCCCATCTCTTCAATGTGAAGTATTTACAGTGAGACGAACCAGATGCTTCCCAGGAAGGGTTTTGTCAGCATCCAAGTCCCCAGATGCAGCTGCAGAAGAGGCTGACGGCCATTAAAGGGATCACGGCGCCGGCTTCGGCAGTGACGTGGTGGCCTCTTCTCACTGATGCTACTGGCACCGCTGGTTGTGCTGTCTCATCGGCCACAGTGGGATGCAGGCAGAGAGCACCCCTCTGCTGATGACAGGAGATTAATGATGTCTGGTCCTCATGGGGTTTTTTTCCTTCTCTTTTGAAGCTCTTCCACTGCAGTGAGAGGGGCAGTGGGTGATGTGCTTGGCTTTTGTTACTGCACACTTCTTCTTCTAGGACCATCTCTCTGCAGCAGTGGCATGTGTGTGACCACTGCATGACTGCTTTTGCTCCCTCTCTGTTCTCAGCATGGCCATGTCTGCCTCATTTGCCTAGTCACCCTGTGGAGAGAGCGGTGAGCTGATCCAGGCAAGGGAAACTTCCATCCACAGCCATGAGTATGCAGAGGCCAGCAGCTGAAGCATCACTGCTGAGTGCTACCCTGGAGCTGGTCACACTGGTCAGGTTCCCATTGTGCCTCCCACTTTGAAGATAAGGTCCAGGACCTTGGACTGGGTTCTGTTTGTTGCTCTTGGTGCTTAGCAGCATTTGCTGCTGACAAGGTGACCCACTGTGCAGCACTGAGGATGAGAGGGAAGATCCCTCTGGTCCAGGCTGCATACTATCCTGTCCCCCCTAGGGCAGCCCATGTATGTGCATGCACATCGGGCTCACTCTGTGCCGGGTGTTCCAATCTCAGTCCTGGCTGCATGAGGGACTTCCTGGGTGCCATGGAGGTAGGATCTGTGCAGGTGGCAGGTCAGCTCACCCAAGGCGGGGTAAGGGAGGAGCGGGCTCGCTAGGTCATCGTTTTTCCAACTAA